GTTAAACATGTTCAATTACGAATAAGTACAAATTGTTCACAAGATTTTTCAAATTTGATTCTGGTATGGTGTTCTTTTAAATGACATCAGATGGTGATGTAGCTACAGCACAAATAAGGATAAGCATGCTGCAGCCACTAGGTGGCAGCATGAGCAGGCCTAATAAAGTCTGTGTTGAAGCTGTAAAAGAAAATTAGCACTGAAAATCTTTGGTTGCTTGTGAGGTGCAGAGTTGTCCAACATAGGACATTAGCTTTACTAAATCTTGATGATATGCACTTCAGCCGGTCAGGAGGAACTTCTTCAAACTGTAGCATTTTTATTCTTTATTTGAATATTCAAAATCTAGACATGAACCACGACACATACAAGAGATATTTAACAGTCCCCAACAGTTCTACAGCCTGAAACAGTTTTGAGCTGTTGGGAGGCCTGATTAGATCATTTGGAGGTTTTTTTTTTTTTAGAAAAGGAGGCTGACGTGACATAATTTGACTTTCCCTGATTTTAAGCAGCTCTTATAAATGGATTTAAATGTAAAAGAAGGTGCAGTGGATCACTTTGCATAGATCTGGATAAAAGTGCAGAAATACATAATTTATGAAACAAATTGAATAGCACAAATGAGTAAGCAAAAACTACAGTGGTTATTGAGCAGCTGTTCCTACAATGTGAATCTGGGATAAAGGCACAGATTATTTGTTTGCCTTTGTTTCCTGGTTATTTCCATGTTATCCAAATGGGAAAAGAGTGCATAAAACTACTGTTTACAAGCAGCTTATCTGTCTCATTGTGCCCCATAGCATAAAATCCATTGGTTGATTGAACAGCGAGACATTTACCATTCAAAATCAAACCAACCAATGCTGAGCTGGGCTGCTTGAGACAATCAGAAGGGATTTCCTGACCAGCGTCCCACCATTGCTCTCTTTATGAAGAGAAATGTAAGAATGAAATAATGCCACTTTCACTCACAGACCTCCAGACCTGCTTTTCTTTGTTCCTTCTGACTTTATGTGTCAGCAAAAGTTTCTCTGCAAGCAAAATTCATCTTTGATTGATTTTTTTTTCTCTGACTAA